TCCTTGCAGGCATTCATGAAATTGTATGCAACACCCTCTGATACTGACGCTAGAGTGCTATGACTATGACTTTACTCAGAGCAAATTGATGTGAAAAGTTGTTAAGTGATTTGAACAAGAAAGCTTAGGCAATCTGTGACAAAGTATTTTTGACAAAAAAATATCATTACTTAACTTCTGTGTTTGAAAGAGCTGTAGTGGATAATATCTTAAATCTCAAACGATTCAGTTTTTGTCTTAAATTTGTATATTTTCTTGTTCTGTTGAAACTTTACTTCCTGTGGAAGGACAATAGAGTCCAGTCTGGAATTAAATCACAAGAGTTGTTACGGAGCTAAACCACACTAATACTTTGCCTAGACAAGAAGTAAATTATTTGTTCCTATTGTTCAGATGTCTTTCAAATAGTATCTAAGACATACTAGATGTCTGCAGCTACTGGAGTATCATGGGGTGGCAGAAAATCACCATGCTGTTCCTTTCTTCATCTCTTATTTCAGTAGATTTGTGCAGTCTGTGGTGAAAAGACAAAGCTTCCAGTCTCAGTTTTCATTCTAAACCCAAGTTTTGATGATTAATGGCAGGATGCTAAAAATACACCTAAATGTCTCTTTGATTCTGAAATTGAGTTTCTGAAAAAGCATTATACTTGTGGTAAGAGGTAAAGTGTGAAGTTCCAGTGAAATGAGCTGTGAATTGCAGCTGCAATGGAAATTGATCCTGTCTGTCAGTCTCTGCTCCATATTTTCAGGAAAACAGAGCAGAGCAGAGAAGGAGCCAAGATCACTGATTAAATAGGATGCTAAAGTGCCAGGGGCTAGAACTGGGCTTGCTGGTCCCTCAGGTCAGAGCTGGAACTGTCAGGCTTCACTGCTTGATACTCTGCTGAAGCTGGCAGGAGAGCAGTATGAAAAATGCTACAGGCACCAGCAGGGGAATTAGTAAGAACTACCTGGCTAAGCTTCAGGCATGACAGGCAGTGCGCTCCTTTGGGAGGAAAACTTCTCTTATGAATTGGTAGGCCTTATTTTCCCCATTTGCCTCATGATTTGTACCAATGAGGCATAAGAAAATGGCTGGAATACTGAGGAACAACAGAGGCTCAGTACATCTGAAGAGCTGCAGAGTGAATGGAGAGCTCTGGCTATATAACTTCTCTGCAGGTGAGCCTTTACCAAGTAAGGAAAAAACAAAGGTTCAGCAAATAGCTGTTGTGGTATGTATGAGGGGTATGTGTTGCATGTAATAGAATTGTGGTATATTAATCTCCTTATTCATCTTCAACTCTAAAAGTTATTTCAGTTGTGATTAGCACTGTGAAATGACACTTCTCTATGTAGCCATCACTTACGTTACCTGATGCAAGGTGACAGCAGCAGACCATTGGTAGGATGGCAGCTTTCAAGTACTACATGAATAGTTAATGCAAGTCTCATGAGCACAACAGCAGCATCTCTACAGAATGCTTACTTTTTCACTTGGAGTTGGGAACTTACCATGGGTAAGTGATAAAAAGATCCTGTAGAAAATGAAATCAACTAAATTAAGTCATCATGCTGTGGTAATTAATTCATCTTTCCCTTTTAAACCATAGTCATTAGCTGTCATTCTTTTTGTGTTCCTTAACAATTTTCTTTCCCCAATATCCTGCATCCTTCATGATGAAGAGCATACTTTCCAGTGTATTGGAAGTGATGTACTGTGCTCTCAGAACCGTATCACATTAAAGATTTCCTCTGGGGTATACAACAATACCTCCAGAGAAACTCAGCACTAATTTGATCAAATGGAAACTTATTTTTCTATCTTTTGTTGCAATAACTGCTATTTTTCTTGGCTGTTTTGAGCCACATGTTTTCAACCCAAAAATTCCATTGTTACCTTAGGGGTTCTTTTCTGGTTAGAAGTAGACATGTTTTCCTTCATCTGTTTTCTTCTTCCTGTATGAATTAACTGAATTTAAAAAAAATTGTCATGTACTTGAAGTGTATAGATCTATTATGACTGAGAACTTAACTATATAGAGCAGATGAGAACTCATATCCTCAGGTCTGTAATGAAGTCATATCTGATAAATGAAAGAAGTGTGGTATTGGAAATAAAAATAAAATAAAGCAAATAAAGTATTTATAATTCAAGAATTAGGTTTATTTGATGAAAGAAATAATAAAGCATCATCTATTCCACTAACCATGTCCATTTTGAGACTTTAAAAATGAGGTTGAGGACACAAAGTGGGTAAATTCTTTGGAGTACTGGCTTGTATCTTCAGAGGCTCTTTCATGGTCAAACCTCTTTGGAATATTTAACCTCACTTTCTCAGTGGACATCCCCCATAAACCAGCAGTTATCCCACCTGGTGCATCTTATAAGATCTTCTTTTATTTATCCTTAAATGTCTTTCTCTGCTGTGTCCGAGGGGTTTTTTTATATGCTACTTGTCCCTTTCTTTCCACTAAGTGCTATCATTGACTGGTTGACACATTATGCTTACCCTGCGAAGGGATCCTTAGGGCCCTATCAGTTGCATCGTCTCTGAATGAATGGTAGGAAAACCAGATATGAGCTGCATAGCTTTCGGATACTGTAGATTACAGAATCAAGTCAGGAACCAAAGCAGCCAGGGTATTTGCCTTGTCTGACGCGCTTTATCTTGTGAATATCAACAAAAGCTGTTTTGTCTGCCATCTTTTACAATCTAATCTCCTTTGTCCCCTGTCTGGTTTTTTAGAAGTGAAAATGTATGTGTCATTCTCATAGCAATGACTTCAAGATTTAACTGGAGGGTTAACTTGTACTTTTTACTAAGATAATGTGGCATAAGAATATCTTCCTCCTGGGCAGAAATCATGGACAGGTTTTTTTGTAAAGCCATTCAATTTCAGTTTTAAAATGTTATGAATTAGTTTTATGTCTCTAATAAAATGATTCCTCAGCTCCCCTGTGAATTTTCTGATGTGCCTCCTATGGAACTAAGCAGACTATTCCATATTCTTGCAGCTAGGAGCTTTGTTCAACTGCTTAATGTTGTATGTCAGGGTCACCTCAATTTTGTTGATTTTCTAGTCTTGTTTAGCCCATTTGGATAGCATTACAGCTACACAATACCTGTGTACAAATGTCCTTTGCTATTCACAGCCTCACCTAAATGAAAGAATGCTTAGAAGCTGATGTGGGGGAAAAAAAAAAAAAAAAAAACTCCTTTTTCCTGAAGTTTATGTCTGAATTAGGCAGAAGTAATGATTAGACTCTGTGATCATAAAGGTCTCTTCCAGTCTAGACAATTCTGTGATTCTGTGACATGAGACTCTTAGGACCTGCCAGTCTTTGAGATTTGCTTCTTATTAATCTTAGTTGTTGTAGCAATAGAAAATATCCCAAACACCCCAGACACCAGGATTCTTAGCTGGACTATCTGAGTATGGAAGCAGGTAAATGGTTCTATACTGATTTATCCTTGGTGAGGACATTTTTACCAGTCAGCCTAGTCACTAGAAAGGAGACCAGGATTAGATCTGTTATTGAATTTGTGTTGCTTTGCCGTTTTGTCACCAACTGGCAAATATTCTGTATTGGTGATCAACACTGTTGGGTAGTGGCAATTAATAAAAAAAAAAAAAAAAAAAAGCTGGAGGATTTGAAGGGGGAAAAATATACCCTGCTTTGTAGTTGTTAAAACAAGCAATTTCTTAACACCTTTTCTTCAAGGAGTTAGGATTAATAAGATCTTTGAACAAATATTTCAAGCATGCAGGGGTTTTATTAACAAGTAAAAAGATTAAATCCTGTGTAAATTGTTTAGAACATTCCTAGTGAAGACATGTTGATTAACAAACATAAAAGAGGGAAGATGCATATTAATTTGTTTACGTATAAGAGGCTTCTAGCTCATTAAAAGTCTTCTAAGCATTTAACTAGTGAAGTAGTGGATAAAACCAGACGTCTTTAATCTTGTTGAGGGCTCCAATATGAAAAAAAACTTATTGCTAAATATGTGTAATAGCTCTGTTAATTACAGTGTTTTGAAAATGTGGGGTGTGTGTCAACTCAGTGGTTTTACTGTACTATGATGGAAATTTGGATTCACTTTTCTCAGTTACTGGGACTGGTAGGACTGAAGAAAATTTAACTTTATCAAGCACAATCTTTGGTTCTTGTATATAGAGAGCCATAAGTTCGTGGGTATAATTTTCTTATGTGTGATTTATGACTGATTATCAACTGAGAGGTCACTAGGAAAGCTCAGATGCAGTCAGATATTGGCTGATGTGCCTCCTGTCTGTTTCTTTTGTTTCTTTGCTAGACCACTGCTACAAACTGAGGTATTTGCACTGTTTATTTTAAATATGATAAAAAAGAAGCTATTAACAACTAATGTTTAAGGGAAAAGAACCCTATGGACTGTCTTAAAGGAAATTGAATGATAAATTAATGTCCTGGCCAAACAGAGATTGAGAAATTGCATTCAGTCTAACATAAAAACAAATTAATAAGAAATAGCTGAAGAACCACCTAACACTTACTCTTTGTATGAACTTCTTTGGGAGAAAATCACCAGGTATTTGCACGTTTTCCCTAAAATAACATTTTCTTTTTAGATACTTGTTTTATGAAGATTTTTGCTGTAAAAGTGTTAACACAAATTAATTTTTTTAAAAATGAACATGCTTATTTTTTGCAAGCAACAGATAGGTAAAAAAGTAAGCATCATTTAAAATGTACTGTAAAGTCTGAGTTTAAGCATCAAAGCTTTCTAGTATTTTCTTTACTCTTCATTTTTCATCTGACACTTTTCTCTCCTTTTCTCGCTGCTTTTTTTTCCTGATTTTTCAGAGACCTATACTTTTATTGTCATTTGCACTTTGAGAGATAAAGCAGTGAATTTCTGTTTCTGCTTATACGTCATATTTATAGAATTGTATAACTTATTATTACTCATGTTATTTATTGTTATAATATGAATAAATAGTCAAACCAGAATGATATTGGTAATTTTGCAGATCCAATGCGTGGGCCACGAAGACTAGAGGTTGTGGAGATCAAATCTAGACAAATCACTATTTGCTGGGAACCATTTGGATATAATGTCACACGTTGCCATCGATACAACCTCACAATTCATTACCGTTACCAGGCTGGAGGACAAGAGCAAGTGAGAGAAGAAGTAAGCTGGGATACAGAAAGTTCACATCCCCAACACACAATTACTAATCTATCACCATACACAAATGTCAGCATCAAATTAGTCCTAATGAATCCAGAAGGACGAAAAGAAAGCCAAGAACTTGTAGTACAAACTGATGAAGATGGTGAGTTTTTGTATTTACATATATGTATTCATTGTACATGCATACTACCTGATAGTCAATATGCTTTTCTGTAAGTCAATGTTCTACTTTCACTAAAATCTGTAACAGATTTTCCACCAACTTCATCAATTTTAAGGCAGTAAAGGGTCCATCCATTAAGGTGTTATAATGATTCTTTATATAATCTTTAGCATCACACATCATTTAATGATTTCTTCATTAAACTCCTAACTTGTGCTTGAACTATATTCTGCCTCTTAAAAGTTCCAGTATCAGTCTGAAGAAATTTCAGGTGATTGTCCACAGTATCCTCATGTAAACTTTTCTATTGAGTGATATGCTCAACATTAAATATTTCTTCTTTATTTGCAGGTTCAATATATCGAGGTTTGGCTTTCCAACTACTGAATGCTGTTAGTTGCTTATTCAGACAATATATTCTATGTACAGACATTTTAGTGATTTTCAGCTAATGTGGGGTTTTCAGATCTCATTTTTTTTATTTTGAGCAGTAACAGAATTTGTGAGAGTCTTTTTTGAAGTATGGACAGCAGAATTGGATACAGTGTCTTTGTAATGCTCTAGTAATATTGTATGAAAAGGTTATACCATCCTCCTAAGTCCTCTGTGATATTATTGTAATTATACAAGCAGAGTGTTTCCTGGAGCTCTGTTAGCTACAATAGCAAAATGGGACTTCCTTGTTGAATTGGTCATGCACCAGGAATCAGTTTCAAAACTCTCTGTTCTGAGTTGTAGCCCCTTAGTACCCTCTACAGGTGTACTTTAAGTTTTTTTGACCTTGCTTTTAACCATTTAAAAATGCATACTGTTCAAAGAAACCTTATCAAGTGACTGGCATTGCTTTATATAACAGATCTGTCCTCCTTCCATTTTTATAGTCTGCAATCTGAACAGGAACAGCTTTTTTTTTTTTTCCAGTTCAATGATAGATTTATTGCAAACATGTTGGAAAGATTTCTAGAAAAACCTTCAACAATGATGAGTTCCTCTTGTAATAAATACTTGAAACCTGTCATTTAAACCTATTAAATCATTTAATATATGCTGCATTAGTTTTATGTAGTACTATTTTCTAATCAAAATATATGAGGGAATAAATTAAACAATTTAGGAATGCATAGTTGCTAATGCAACGAATTTGACAAAGCATAGCTAACAAAAAAATTGTTTAATTAGAATTAATTTTGCTTTTATCCTCTAATTTTGATTCGGTTCAGTTGTAGGATGATAAAGCTAAAGACGTTATTGTTGTCTGAGCCGTTGATGGAGCATCTCCCTTATGAGGAAAGGCTGAGGGAGCTGGGTCTCTTTAGCTTGGAGAAGAGGAGGCTGAGGGGAGACCTCATTAATGTTTATAAATGTGTAAAGGGTGAGTGTCATGAGAATGGAGCCAGGCTCTTCTCAGTGATGCCCAATGGTAGGACAAGGAGCAATGGGTGTGAGCTGGAACACAGGAGGTTCCGCTTAAACTTGAGAAAAAAACTACTTTACAGTGAGGGTGACGGAGCCCTGGGACAGGCTGGCCAGGGAGGGTGTGGAGTCTCCTTCTCTGGAGACATTCAAACCCACCTGGGAGCCTTCCTGTGAGATATTACTGTGGTTACTCTGCTCCGGCAGGGGGATTGGACTAGATGATCTTTCGAGGTCCCTTCCAATCCCCAACATTCTGTGATTCTGTGATTCTGTGATTCTGTGATTTTCTCTAAATATTTTCTTATTCCTGACCCTGTAACTTCATATTATTCCAAGACTTATTAAAAACCGACATCACTGATTGAGAGAATACCTTGAACAAAAATTATAACTTTTTAGTATACCATACACTTTCAGTAAGGTACGTAAATCTGGATGTAACACAACAGAATATACTGACCCAAATAATCATAATTTTTCAAATCACACAATCATGTAGATTGCAAGGTGTCGCAGCAGGAAAACTCGTGCACTCAATGTGAGCAATCAGCAAGTGTCCGTTTATTGATTAGTGTTCAGCAAACTTATACAGTTCTACAGGAATGCACAAACAACATCAAGATCTCAAGGGAATGTTTAAAAGGTGATGTTCCCAGGCACAGGAGCCGACAAAGAGAAACAGCCCACAAGGCTGACCTCTGCGGTTATCTGTGTTTATTTTACTGGCGTTCTGTACTTTTCCATAGTGGGATCAGCTAGCAGCTGCTGCATCTCTATGTGACCCTGTTCAGCTAACCATTCTTCCACAGCAAGGAACCTCCAGAGCTCATTTAGTCCAACCTTTTGCTCAGAGATCAACTGAGAGCAGATTGCTCAAGGTATTGCACACAGTTGAGTTTTGACTGTCTCCCAAGACAGATGTCTCACAACCTCTCTAGGTAACTTCTGCCAGTGTTTCACCTACCTCATGGCATAACTGTTTAGAGTTTATGGTCTTCAGATAATTTTAGAGGGTTACCACAGTTTTTGCTCTACTTCCAACTGATTTGCACTACACTTAATTCCTCTCCCTTTAAACATAAATCTTTAACCCCATGATTCCAAATGAGTTTTGCTAGTTCTCTCCTACTTGGAAGCCAGGCTTAGTGCCCACACTTAAGGTTGCCCTAAAGACATAATCTTACTGGTCCACACAGGACTGGTAAGCCAGTTGAGAAACCATCACCTGTGTCTTTGGAGCTTCCTCTTGGTAGAGCAGGGGACTCTGTGGAGAGCTATGGAGAGGTGATTATGAAGTCTCAAAACCATGTAAACTCCCAGACCAACAGCACAGAGGAGTAGGAGGAGGATAGTGGTCTGCTACACTTAGCAATGGGAAGGAGTCGACAGATGTCTTGCTTGCAGATCTTCCAATTCTTTAACCTTCTGGTAAATCTCAATAAGGGGTCTGAGAAGTTATTTCAACAACTGCAGCAAGTAGTTTCTACCTTCTTTCCAAAAAAAAATGTTAAGTATATCTTCTTACTGGATTTTCACATGCAGTTAGGGGAAAAGTGCTAACCCTTCAATGCCTGTTGCCTCACAACAGTCCTGTGTGCATTTTTCAGAATTTTCTTTTCACATTCCATTGCAAGTGTTGTTACAAAAATAAAACTGAAGATACATGTCCATGTGCTGTTTACAATTCTCCTCTGAAAACTGTGTTGAGATTGGCTCGGGGATAAAGTGGCAGAGCAAACCAGAAACAGAAGTAGATTCCTGAGAGCAGCTGGCGTACCTTTTATGAGAACCTTCCAACATCTCTACCTCTTCAGAGGTCATTCTCATAAATTAAGAGACTTTAAGAAAAATGAATAATGTCAGATTTTCAGTTTGGCTGCTTCATAATTTCCTTATATTCATCTTGTAGGTCTTTAGGCCTCATGTCTGCATCACTGTTCTATCCAACATATGACTCATCTTTCCAACCTCGCCATTCTAGTTCTTATTACTTCAATGCTTGTCCATTTTCATATATGAATGTTTAATATGTTTTTCACTATGGGACAGTAATACTGTTGCTAAGTGGGTACTACAAGTAGATTGTGTTTACAATAATTTATATTTGAGGTATCACCTAATTCCTTATAAAAAACTGAATTGTCCTTTTATTTCATCAGTAGTGTTTTACTGGAAAAGCTCACTAATTCCTTCTTATACTGGAGGTGACACATATGTTTCCTTAATGGTATGTTAAACATTCTCCTCCTGAGCTACACTGGTCTTTGCTTCAGTCTTGGGAAAGTGATAATGGGTGCTGTTTTCTAAGAGTTTATATGCAGCTGAGATGGTTTGCTCAGAGAGAAGAGGAAGTTATATATGATCTGTTTAACAATTCACCAAATGCTGCAGGATATGCACTGTATCTTAACAAGGGATTGAGACATGATGGATGAATAGTTTTATGCCTCAACAGTGCAAATACTAAGCACAGTGTCTCCTTGTGAAACTTTTCTCAAAACAGCATTTTTTTCTTTTTTACCCATTAGTTCCGAGTGCTGTGCCACTTGAATCCATTCAAGGGAGTACCTTTGAAGAGAAGATTTTTCTTCAATGGAGAGAGCCAGCGCAAACATATGGTGTTATTACTTTGTATGAGGTACCTAGCTTTTTGCCATTCTTTAATTTTTATGTACAATTTTGATTTGCAAAAGTGCATATTTTTTTTCCAGTTTCTGTAAAATGAATATTCTTTTTGAAGTTAGTAGCACTTATAAAGTAATAAAACCCACAACACAAGAAAGACATGGACTTGTTAGAACAAGTCCAGAGGACAGCCATGAGGATGATCCGAGGGCTGGAGCACCTCTCCTGTGAGGACAGGTTGAGAGAGTTGGGGCTGTTCAGCCTCGAAAAGAGAAGGCTCCAGGGAGATCTTATTTCAACTTATTTCAAGCAGCCTTCCAATACCTGAAGGGGGCCTAAAAGAAAGCTGGGGAGGGACTTTTTACAGGGGCAGGTAGTGACAGAACAAGGGGAAATGGCTTTAAGCTGAAAGAGAGTAGGTTTAGATTAGATATTATGAAGAAATTCTTCACTGTGGAGGTAGTGAGACAGTGGAACAGGTTGCCCAGAGAAGCTGTGGATGCCCCCTCCCTGGAGGTGTTTAAGGCCAGGTTGGATGAGGCTTTGAGCAACCTGGTCTAGTGGAAGGTGTCCCTGCTGATGGCAGGGGGATTGGAACTAGATGATCTTTAAGGTCCCTTTCAATTCATACCATTCTATGATTCTATAATATCAAATATGTAATGTAGGAGTAATGTAGGACCCAAAATGTCCCTGAGTTACCAGCTTTAAGAAAAATACTATATTTAGAACCATGTGAAATAGCATTCTATCTAGTAATGTGTAACAAATATTTAAAAGATTGAAAGACAGATCTTAGTGAATTATTTTTTTTAAAAAGGAGACTTAACACAGTGGTGACAGTCAACATCATATTTAGATAAGTCTCATTACAGGAAGCCTATTGTAATAGAAACAAGCAGGCATAATTAAAAAAAATCTAGATTTTTTTAAAATGCAAATTTAACAAAATTATATGTTGTTAGAGGTATAAAAATCGCTGCTTTTCCTCATGTGGAACCTCTGCCTGAATACCTTTTAGAAAAATTGACAAAAGACTGCACAGATTAAGCTGTCAGACAGTAATCACTGTTAAGCTTCTTACCTGACCTTACTACAAAATTGGTATTGAAATGCTTTGTTTTAAAAAAAAAAAACACCTAAATGAGATATGGTGTAAAAGAAAAGTTAAATTGAATGGTAACCTACTGATACTGTTTTGAAAACTATTTTATTATAAGAGGGTAAAATGTTATGAAAAAGTATGGATTGATTTTTTATAAAGCTAACTACTTTTTAGCTGGTTTAGCCATTTTCTGTCTTCAGGGATCAGAATGTTTTAGTTAATATGTTAATGTTTTTACTGATGTTAGGCTTTATGTACATAGAAACACACAGTGATGAATCATCTTTCTGCTTACGAACATGCTTGCGTGTCTAGTTATATTGCTGAGGGATATATTCACTGTATACATGCAATTCATTATTAAATGTATATACATACATAACTTCATCAGCTGTAATGGGAGTTGTGCAGTTGTATTCAAAGGTGGAAAAGAATTGCTTGGCCAGACTTTCTAAGGTAGGAGGACTGTGCAAGTCTCTGAACATCAAAAAAACCTAGTATTCCAACAATGAGGAGAATATTGAGAAGAAGATATTGGTATCTCCTTATACTGTTTATCTAATATGTTTCAAAGCAGAGGTGAAGGTAGCAAGACAATCAGTTAAATCAGAAACTTGGTTTAATTAATTTTTAGTTAATCTTTTTAAGTAAAAGATACCAACAGACTGATGCAACCAAATCGTCCCTTGTTCTAAAGACATCAACTCAGTCCTGTCAGGTGGCTGACTATGAGCAGGCACCTAGTGTCTGAAGATTTGTTTGTCAATACTTTTTCTCCCCTGATGTCTGCTTAGAAGCCTAAAACATATCACAAAGTTTTTATAAATATGACTGGTAAACTACACGGAGGCCAACAAATATACACAGTGAATTATGGGAACATTTTACCTATTTTAAATGTATACTTCAGTTGAAATACAAAAGTACACTTCAGATATATTTTAGATAACTGAAGGAGCTCACAGAATAAGATCCAGACAAGTTAGATTGAATTTAGGTATCTGTGTTTCATAGGTTGATTTGGGCTATCTGTGATGTCTCAGTAGGCACCTCTCTGGCTGATCTTTGTGCTGTCAAGGTAATGTATCCATCACAGCTCCAAATTATCCAAGCTTGAGAAGTGAGGTGTCTAGCTCCTGTCTATGGCCTGTTGCAAGCCAAAGCTTAGACAAAGAGACATCTAAACTTTAGCTGCATGTGCATCAATAATTCTGATCTAAAAAGCACAGCTGGTAAAGCTGCTCTTATACAAACATATGGCATGAAAACTATGGCGCTCATGACACTCACCTTTCAGAGAAAGGCCTAGCAGGTGAGCACTAACTTAGTAAGAGAGAGGCCTGAGTAGGGGACATTTCAGCCTGAGAGATTCCCCAATTCATGCTAATCTGCCTGTAGGGGAGTGACTCAGGCACAGAGCCACAGCAATAGCTGAAAGCTCCTTCCATTCATCTGTCACCTGCCACTGGGCTGGATGCAACTAGGGGTGAAAGGGTTAGTAGTGCCAGAAGGAAAGCAACAACAAGAGCACCAACTGCTTCAGTCTAGTGTTGAAGACACACAGCTTGGGTGAGACAAAACTGCAGGTATGTAAGCCTGAGTCAGACAGAGGTGCCAGGGTCTTCATCCCACCAGACAGATGAACTTAATGTGCAGACCTGAGACTGCATCGCTGCTTCCAGACAGAAAGCTCAGTCTCACCTCTGAGTCTAGTATTTCTTACTCTGAGTACCCAACTCCTTCTGTTGTTAAGAATCTCATAGCTTAGTCTGTTTTCTGGGGCCAGGCATTTGTTTTTAGTGCCTGAAGGAGACAGCCTTTTAATATATATGGTGGGAAAAACTGTGCGTTGAAGTATCAAGTATTAAAGTATTCATCGATATTGTGAAATTAAGTGCAAATCCAATTATTTTACCAATATTTAAATGAAAAAAAGCCTTTAGGTGAAGAAATGACATAATGACAAATGATACCATTTTGCTGCTCTAGCACCATTACAGGTCCATAGTTGTAGGAATAAAGGGATTAGTCCTTTGAGCAAGGTTTAATTTAAATTTGATAAAAATAGTCAACATCCAGTGAGAAAATAGCCTTGTGCCCTTTTTTTTTTCTTCACTGCAAAGCTGAACTGGCATTAACAATGGTGGACATAAGAAATTAGTTTAAAAAAAAAAAAAAGAGTAGGAACAGTCTTACAAGTAGGAGTAAAATACAGAAACAGTGCAAGTCCATTTTAACCAGGCAAAACACTTTTTTTTTCATGTGTTCTTCAGGATCCATGGAAGAACTTATTTCATTACAGAACATCAGCCATTTAGCTATCTAATAATTAAACACTGCAAAAAATTTGTAAGAATCTGACATAGACTGCAGAGTCTCCAATAGCGTGGCCTTATTTTGAATAAAACTCGACTGAGATTTTGGAAAATCCAGTTAAGAATCATAGAAATTTAGAAAACAGAGTTAAAGGGAGCTGCAGGAGGTCATTTAGTTCACATATCTGCAGCAAAACAGGATCAGCTGTATGTAAAACATAGTTGCAATATAGTTGTCCGACCTGTCTTTTAAAATCTCAAAAAAAAGTTAAGACCCGCTCTCCCACAAGCAGACTTAACAACACTTACCATCAGAAAGAGAGATTCTTTTGGGCAATATGTAACCTGAATTTCTTTACTCATAAAAGTTCAGATATTTGGTAATGTAATCTTCTTCTGTCTTCTGTTATAATTAGGAGAGTTAGTTGAGTGATTTTTAAGACACTTTCAGTTCAAATTTATGGATGAGGAGTTGTAGAAGATCTGCTTATATCTACCAAAATAATGTCAGGGTTTATCGAGATGGTATCAAAGTTTTTATTACTAATTGTCAGCACTTTATTGATGTTATATGAGATAGGTCATATAAAAACCAATTTTCATTAAGTAAGAGGTTTTAGGAAATTACAAGTGTTGAAGGTGTATAATGCTGATTCTTAGATGTCTGTATGTATTGTTTTATGTGTCTTCCTAATTATAATGATATGGAATAAATGTAGCAAAAAGAATGTCAATTATCACTTTCTATAATAAGTGTTGGAATTACTCACACACAAATGAAACTTTAAAAGTAAAAAGGAAGGATGAATCATTTTTACTTTTAAATTTTTTAATTAATTTCTTATTTTTAAATTCTCATCACAGTGCATGGAAATTAGTAATTAATAGAAGAAATCTGGATCAAGTTTTAATGTGAACTCACATTAACATTTCTAATGAAAACTAAAAATACTATTTGAATCAAAGAAGGAACTGAGGATACAATATACACTCTGCATATATTACTTAACATTTTATCTTTCCTTTCCTCCAAATGAGAATCTGACCTAGGTACAATATTATAACCTGAAAAAATCCAAATTAGCAATTACAATAGCTAAGCTTCAGACTAAAATACAAGCTTTACCACTTTCCGAAAAATTTGCCTTAAGCTGCCCTTATCATATTTTATGGATAATCTTATTCAGAGCAAAGTGTAGTTATAGTGAAGTCAGCTGGAACTGGGGGCTACACATTCTGTTATTTGCTTATCTGTTTTTACCTGGTTGTTTTGGTGTTGTTATTGTTGCTGATCAAAACCAACAGTGAAATGAATTCAAAAAACGACAGTGGTAAAGCAGTGTCTTGAAGGAATTAATGTAAGCCTCAACCCATCCTTTAGAGTTGTAATCTAGCTGCTTCTAAGTCTCTGTATCTATAAAAGTAATAACTCACACCAGTTATGGCTGAGTTTCTGTGTCCCTTCATGGGATTCAGGATTTGAAGAGTATAAGAGAGTAAGATAGCTTATCAAATGTCTGACAGTGCATACGTCAGAAGGGTTTACTGGATAAAGATGCAATCTCTGTCCATCTGCTTAAGGCAGTTTATAACTTTCTTATTCTTTTGCAGATCACCTACAAAGCAGTGAGTTCCTTTGACCCAGAAATAGACCTATCCAATCAAAGTGGACGAGTTTCAAAGCTAGGAAATGAAACACACTATCTCTTTTTTGGACTGTATCCTGGCACTACTTACTCTTTTACCATCAGAGCCAGCACAGCTAAAGGCTTTGGACCTCCGATCACAAATCAGTTCACCACTAAAATATCAGGTACTTGATTAAAGAATATTATTGTTTGCTTATGATAATGACATGGGTAGTTCTTTTGTTGTTTACTTCTTTAGGATTTAACAAGCAGCAAATTGAAAAAGTAAAATACATGTTCATCCCTGAAGGTCTTAAGGTGACATACATTAACATATCTGAAAAGCTTCCAAGTGCTTAAATATCAGTTTGTACTTTGAAATTCCTATTCACAACTGTAACTTATCACCCAAAAAACCCTATGAATTATGTACCTGCAGTCAGTGCCAGCTGCTGTTGCAACATTTAGCATAGAGCTTTTTGGACATGAGGATGAAGGTTGCATTCAGAGCTTAGTCAGCCTTGACATGATTCTAAATTAGTCCAGTAACAGTGCTGGAAAATCTCTTTAATGAGCCATGAACAACTGAGAGTAGAGCAGAAATACTGTATGTCTAGTGCTCACTTAGAACATGTAGCTAACTCCCAGCCTGTCTCTACCTTCCTAGCAGGCATGTGGACTGAAGTGGATATGAAACTGTATTAGACAAGAACATCAGGTCTAGTGGTTTTCAGATGACAGCAGCATGACTCTGTCACTTCTGCAGATCCATGAACAATATTTTAAAGCCCTCCCACAGGCAGAGAAGCACTTCATTTCTCTAGCTGAGGGGATGCAATAATGTTGCGTACTCTAAAATGCTTATGTAATTGACGACAAAATGTTTTGCAAAGTTACTGTTGACATCCCTTTACTCTTCACTTCTCTACAGTCTTCTTGGGAATTAAACTGTCAATTGAACTATGGCCCTTTGGTAATATTTACAGAAAATTACCCTGTCTATTTGTGGTCAGCTTTGCTTTTCAGAAAGGATAAAGGAAGGCATTTGGGTACAAAATATTCTTTCTCTTTTACTCTCATTCTTTTTACTTTTCCCCATCACTCATTTTTTGTCCTTTGTCCTCTCTGGAATGAAAAAAAGTAACAAGTGTTAATCAGAAATAGAGCAATTTCTTTTTTTCTTATTATAGGAAAAGACAGTTAATGCAAGGTGGAAATTATTGCCAATACAGGTGTTTTTAGAGAAAAAACCAAAGTTGTTGATTTTCAAGTTAGAAAATTATTCTTTATAGGAAGTCTAAACATAAATAACACTGATCAGTAACAATGGGGTTCATTTTCCATCCCCATTCCTGTACGGAGCAGAAACTTTCTCTGTCAGGAATCAACTTCTGACACGGCAAGACTTGATATGAGTTAGGATGGCAGAATCAGCCCTTGTTGAGGAAGGAAGGAGACCATTGAGAGTGGATGAGAATCTGGGCATTTGGGAATAGTGCTGGATCTTAAATTGTTGTTCTTTTCTAAATTTGATATGTCACCAACTAAAACTCATTAGTGTAAACAGACATTGTAGGCATGCTTGGGGATGAGACTAACCTCCAAGTTGCCATGCGGTAAGGTTCTGCAAGCTTTCTTATCTGCACCCCATTCTCTCATTACTTCATGTTAGTTACTGTACTAACAGGGAATGTTTGTGATTTGTGTTTGGGTAGTTAAAGCCAGTCTCTTGATGAATTTAAAATAGAAGCAGAATGTGTACATTTCTTAGTATCACTGAAAAATTGCAACTGAAATTTTAGCTTTTTAATATGGTGCCCTCTTTGCAGTGCTATTGTCTCATTGTCTCACTGTAAGGCTTTGAGGCTCTTGGTGTGGCCAGTGCTTTTGGAGAGATGTAAAATGAAAATTTTGAACATTTACAGATAAAAGATATCAGGATTTTTTAGAACAGATAAGATGGCAACAGTACATTCTGACCAATTTCTGAATTGACTCATTGCATTTTAATTTGTCTGACTGCATTTTCATTTGAATAAAATACTCTAAATTTCTTGTCTTAAGTGTTTGAGTAGTACTGTGCTGTACTGTAAATAGTTGCCATGTTTCATTCTACAGTTGTGTGATGGGCACTGATTGATGAAGTGATCTGTATGTAAATACATACTACCAAAAGCAGAGCTCACAGCAGTGCCTGTTATCAAAACTGATAGGCACTCTATTAGAAGACTGTTTTCTGTTGCATATCACTTTGTGAAAAGTCAGCTGTGCTGGCTGAAATTTTGTATGCTGCCTTTCATACTAAGAAGAATTTCATCCATTTCAAGAACACAACTGACATAATGAAAAATTCTGGTGACCGATACATTACTGAAGTGCTTTCAAACAGGGATTTAAATATTTAGCAAGAGAGACATTACTCTAAGCCATCACTCTGAAAATCTGTACAGATTTGGGCAATTTGTAAATGTTGCTGTTTGCACACAAATGGTGGGGAAACTTGACAGAATTGAGGAGCAGTCGCCATAGATGCCATACTCACAAAATAGATTTAAATTCTCCAAGCTTTTAGAGCCTTGCCTGTGTGTTCATCAACTCAGTGTGGCCCAACACAGACAGACAGTCTCTAAAGGCCTAACCTTTTAGTGCATCTGAGCTTTCTGCTGCTGAAGACCAGGTTGTGCAGTTGCAAAAACTGTGAACAGGAAGAATATGTCCTGTTTTCTCTGCTTACTGATAAGCTCCTCTTTATGTATAAGCAGTGTGGAGAAGGAAGAGTTCTAATCTAGACAGGACAAAAGTGTGAGAATAGATAGTGTCCAGGTATCTGTGGAGAAGAGAAAAAGTAGCCAGGACTAAAAGAAGGGACTTGGAGAACCGCAACTCATATCCTAGACAGGAAGACAGTTTTGGTGGAGGGAGACTAAGATTAGTAAACAGTGCAAGTAGGGACCTAGGAGTCATAAATTAGGAAGATTACAAGACATGTTAAGATGTTGGTGGAGACTAAGGGCAAGAAATACACGTTGCTAGAGCTGCTTAATTTGCTAGAGGAGCCTAGAGTTTGATATTATCTGTATGTGGAGCATAATATACTCTGAGTAACTTCATCAGTATGGTACACAAAGTATCCAATGGCTGGAAGATGAAGCCAAAGAAATAGAGATGCCAAATAGGTCTCCACGTTCAACCTGAAGTATTATTAGCCATTGGAAGAACCGGCTAAAGAAAAGATCTTCTCCCTCACCAAATGTATTTTCTTTTCCAAGCAGGAATTAGTGTAGGGCAGTTCAGTGCCCTGCATTATTCCTGTGGTCAGAAAAATCATTGCACTTTTTGCTTCTATATCCTTTAAATCTGTTAACTCTGTATCATCATTAACAGCTGGACAATAAGGCCACCACAGACTGCTAAATAAACAATTAATCCAATATAATGATTTAAATATGACTAGATGGTAGCACTAAGAAGAGTAGCAACAGTAAAAGACAATAACTGAGGCATCGTTTGTTTTAATCACAACTGTAATTCCTTAATGGAGACACAGTCTGCAAAAGTGCTGTTGGGTGTGACTTCAAACTAAGATAAGGTCTCGTGGTGATAATCCTGCTTCATTATTGTAAATTATGTCTGTGGTGGACAGTAGACCCAGGACAGTTACAGCATTAGCTAAAATTCCAGGAATGACAAATTCTGAGAGTGCATCTTAATACCACTGGCATACTGAGAAAACTGGTCTCAGTTTCAAAAATTATACTCACTTTAGCATGCACATTTGCAGATGCTCTTCTTGAGATAACTTTTATTTTCCAAGTCATGGATTCTTAATACTTCCCGCACACTTACTCTTACTAGTATCTGTTTCCTATCTTGAAACTGGCAGTGAGCTGGGATTTCTTTGGCTGGTTGGTTGTTTCTTTCCTGAAGTTATTTAACAGTTGTCTCACATTTGTGTTGTAACAGAAAGCATCTTAGACCTATAATATGGTCTTTATATTTGAAGAAGTCTAAAAATTACCTGTTCAAATAAAGATACAGCTCTTGAAAGAAGAAATACAGGTATAATGATTATTTTTGCCTCTTTTCTTTTCTTATTCTAGCACCTTCTATGCCACCATATGAACTTGAAACACCTTTGAATCAAACTGACAGCACTGTGACAGTCTTACTGAAACCTGCACAGAGCAGAGGCGCTCCTGTCAGGTACTGGGGAAAAAAATCTTTATAAAATTAAAACCAAATTGATTAATTTCTTGAACATGTTTTCTGGGGATTTTCTACACAACAATCAGTGTCTAAATTCATGTCTATATTAGCTCTAATTAAATTAAATAACTGAAGAAAATGAAAGTGCTTTGATGTTGAGTGTTCGCGTATTGTTTAAAGGATTTGATCCAGATGCAAGTGGCTTGTTCTTTGAAGATAAGGAACAAAGCTGTAGTTCTGTTGTGTGGGTGGCTTCTTTAAGGTAATTGCTTACTGCAGTGTTATAAGTTCAAGGGCATATCAAAATTTTTATGCTGAGCTACTGTCTTTAGTATTTACTCTTCTTGTTTACTTCACAGATTTAAGATAATAAACTCTTAGAACGTTAGTCAATTTAAGCAATATGTACTGTAACATTCAGAAAGTATTTACATTTAATTGACCATGATAGCAGAAATAATAGAAAAAAAAATCAACCTGGAAAACCAGTAGCTCAGATTCTTTAGTGTTATATAGGACCTGTTAATGAATTTCCAATTTGCAGAGGTTTATTTCACCTCCAAATACACAGTAGTGTGTAAGTCCTTCATTGATTAGAAAAGATGCTTGCTTTTCAGTGAAAAAAACAGAGGAATGGTTAGATTATTTTGAATGAGAACCAATAGTGAGCTCAATATTCTGAATAAATGAAAATAATGATGAGAGAAATACAGATTTTTCAGATGTTTAGGATAATTTTCCTTTTGGCTAAACATCTCATCCGAAATGGTTAATTCTTTTGTTACTGTAGGAAGAGTTTCCACCTATAGTGAATGACCGTCAATTGTTTTCATCATGATGCAAAGGTTTTTGGTAATTTCTGTCTATCTGGGAAGTACAGATCTGGTATACTTTTATATGCATGAATGAAAATAAATGTTCATTTGCTTTCTTCAGAATATTCAATGTTTCATATAATTAGGGTTTTTTTACTATGCAACATGTTCACTGTTGCATTATACATTATATATATGTAGGTCTGCATTTAGGAAGTGCCATCCTGTTGATCCTTCAGATAACTTTTTAAAAACAAAATGTAAGACTTTGGGAAGGTCTGAACCAGCTAAGAAAAAAACAGGAAGCAATTAAAGCAGATTTAATGAAACTGTTTGATTTAGCAGATTAGGTTAGAAACAGAATGATCTGCTGTTTGTTTTACTTTATCTTTATGTTTTTACTTTACTTTATAGTGTAGTTCTTCTGAATTCAAGAACCTGGATTAAAATAAGACCAGCTGGAGTCATTGTTGTTTAAACACAAACATATTAGACTATTAATAAAAAAAGTTTCATTCCTTTTATCTGCATCATGAACTAAAGATGATTGACTCCTATAGCAGTAGTGACATCTCAGAAACTTCACTGACAATAGAAAGCAGCTAGTTAGGAGATTAAAGTGTGCCAAGTAAGGTAATCAGTGGTTAGGAAAATAGGAGGAGAGATTCAAAGTAACATGAAGCTATAGAACTGACAGATGAACACAAAGCAGCAGATTAACCGAGGTCCTTTGCAACAGGTCTTAAAATAAAATAAATGCTGACTGCAAACTCCATATGTAAATACTAAGTGAAGCAGAATGAAAATTTAAGTAAGAATTTCTTGAAACTTTTAACATTTTATTGTGCATTACACTCTCAAATACACTGTAATTGCATAGCTTTCAGAACACATCCTGCGTATGGATTTTAACATCTTAGTCTGTATTCATTGTGTTTAAAAAGTTTAGTCATACTTCATTTATGCACACCACTAAGCAAGATTTCTTGTCTGTTGATTCCGCTAAAACTACCAGCTTGGTTAATGCAGATTTTTGGAACTGCACTAAACTTGCAGTGTAAATGATTGCTGTTGTTTTATTGATCAACACATCAGCTATGTCACATAAAATTCTTTAACTCCTGAGACTGGTAAGGAGGGCAGAAATTATACCATTCAAATCAACAAAGCTAATATCTGAGGTAATTCAGAATTGCAGCTTTTTTGTGTTATTGAATGCTTTTTTTCTATTTAAATATGAACAGTCCTGTTGTCTTATACCATATTTAGAATCCACGCACAACCACCACAACATAAAAGGAGAGAAAGGACAATGCTGATTTTTTTAAATGTTGATTCATAAAGCAGACTTTATAGAAAATGTTCAGGAAGCTCTGTTTACAATGATAAAGTACATATTAATCAGGAAGGCCAAATGGCATTCCAGGTTGTTTTAGAATTCATAAGACTGGACATGATTAAAATGTATTTTGTCAGAGTTTTAATACAACAAATACTGCTAGCTTTGTCTTCAATTTCAAGTCCAGCATGTTTTATGGCTGTTGCTGTGTTGTTTTTCAAGGAGATTATTTTGGAATTATATATGTTTAAAGCAGTAATGCATTCAGTAATGATGAATGTATGCACTTCTTTAACAGCTGGCTAAGCTATTTTGATTTTTAGAAGGATTGTAATTTGCAAGGCTTTTTTTTTTTAATTTAAGATGACAGCTCTTTGGAAATTGTGTAATGTATGTCTTGTTGCGGATATTGTCTTTTTTTCAAAGATATGTGTATGTAAGAGTCAGTAAAGTTTTAAAGAATTTGCATACAAAGCATACAAATGCAAATATTTTTTCTACAAGGGCTCTTCAACATTTGTTGAGGGACTGACACTTCCAAGGCAGTATCCTTTGTACTTTTTCCTTCTTCAGGGCAAGCTAGCCTAAAGTTTAAGAGACCCTGGGCCCAAACTGTCTGCTGGTGCATTGGCAGGTCAGTTCCATTTACTTGAACTAAGGAATGCTAATTTATTGCAAAGATCTAGCTACTGCACCGGAATGAAAAATGTAATACTCAGTATTTACTGTGATTTATGTATTCATCTGTGCTAGAAATAGCTGTAGATTGTTTGCCATATTCCATTATAAAAGGTTCTTGTGACCTTGTCTGGAAAAGTTTTCCTGCAAGCTTTTAGCTTCAGTGAAGAGAGACAAGTTTTCTTTGTCACACAGATTTCCATTCAGTCTTGCCATGATAAAGGCTGAGTGTTTCCACTTCTTTTATCTCACTTACATAAACAGCAAAATGCTGTCACCATATCACCTTCTTCCTGCTGTTCTGTGCCACATCCTCAGAAAGCCTTAAGAGTAAACACTGCACAGATTTTGGCCCAGATAACAGCAGAACCACCTGTCAATAAGGAGCGGCAGACTGGGGAAAGGAGCAAGGAGGATAAGAGAGAAGGCAAGGTAATCCAGGCTTTATTGTCCCTCCAGGTCTCTTTCTCATATTACTTTACAGAGCTTGTCTCAGATGGATTTGCCCCATGAAGCCCTTCTAATCAGTTAATGGCCTATTCAACCACCCTTTCTGTTCTTACAGACACCACAGATAGTTGGTACTTTGCTCTTCCAGCCTAAAGTGAGAGAATAGGGGGGCCAAGCACATCAGCCAGCAAAGCCCTGTGGATACAATCGTTTGCATTTGGGATGCCAGAGTACTTCCTGTGCTGAGTAGTGAGATCAGTCTTGCAGCACCTGAGGCTGCAAAGCCCACACAGGATGAGAGGGAGAGAGAGAATTGCATCATTTGCCAAGTAGTATAATTTAAAGTACTTTAAAGAAAACATGCCAAAAGAAGCAGATAAACTTTGAATTATGTGAGTTGAAAGCTGAGAGTGTGCTAGAGTGAAGGCAGTCTGTGTACTCTCAATGCATCAGTGTGCCCAACTTCTTCAACATGCAGATTGGGTGCCCTAAGTAAGAACAACTCTACTGGGAAAATAAAGCAAGCATCTCTACTTTAAGTCCTTAATTTTGAAACGTACTTTTAATCTCTCTTCCCTGAAGAAGTAAAGTATGTTATTTTTCAGCCCAAAATGCCATATTAATTTGTTAAGTATTTTGAAGTGCAGCTGAAAACTACCATAGAAATTTCAGACTGCATGTTATTTAAAGTGATAAGCACTCCTTTCTGCTACTTCATCAGGTAAACACTTCATGATGCATTCAGATTGTCTAAATTCCAGAGAGATTTACATTTTTTATTGTCCTAATCCAGACCTTTAAAGGCGCCCTGTAAATACTTGGTTCATTGTCACAGGTGGAATTAAGGCTATCTGCACATGGTGCCTGGAATAGAAACAGCATGATTCAGGGGGTGATGCATGGTGTAAAGAAACCTTTGTCAGCCCAAGTCTAGGGAGTATGTCCATTCTGTATGTGGCTTAGCTGTTTCAACAACACTTGTAGTATAATGATTATTAAATGAATGACAGAGGACAGCTAACTCCTACCCACTGACTAGCTGTAGGAAGAAGTAAGATAAACAGGTGGTCACCTTTGAAATACAAAGACTTGTATGTAATGTCGCTTCCTCTTAGACTGGCAGCAGGAGTTTCCACTACTTGTGCCATGTCAGTTAGGGCATGCAATGCTGTTCACATACTTCCATACAAAGAAATGGGATCATCTGAAGCCTGAGACACCTTTTGCAGGACCCTCCAATCTGACAGACAGCCTTCCACAGAAGCCACTACCTACCTTCATTCTTGAAACTTATGGTCTTCACAAAAACGTTCACCTGGCTGGCAAATCAGCAGATTAAATTGTTTCACTGGCAGTCAAGAAATCCAAACAAAAGCTAGCAAGCTAGCCAGGCTATTTGGAAACCAGTGGCAGATATCATTGAAACTCAAAAAGCAGCAGGCTTCAAGCACTCTGAGTACAGAAGTTTCAGGATATTTTCCATAACCTTGAAAAGACCGCGGGGCACTCACATTGCTGTCATGAGTACATGGCAGCCACCGGGCTGGGCATCCCAAGCTGCAATCCACTTCCCAGAGAAGAGACACTGATATCTCAGTCTGAGTGTCTGTGTTTTATGGTAAGAGTGCAGCATTAATTCCCATGCATGAATTATGGAGGCAGACATCATGAGTATGATTATGAATTCAGGATAAGTGAACAAATGAGTTTTGAAA